ACTTTGCAAAGCAGCCTTCAAGATTTCCTTTGTTTATTTGGACAGAGAGCTCAGTTTTCTCCTAGTCTCACCCCCTGCATGTACTTACAAGGATCTTCTCCCTGTTTCCATGTATTAGCTTGGCCTGGAAAGTGGCCACTGTGGTCCCCAGTGTTCCCAGGTAAAAGCAGCCATGCTCTGAGTGGTTTTCCCCAGCAGTGAGTACCAAAGCTTAGGACTTTTGAACCCTCTTGTCCAAACTTGCTGGTGAGTCCTGGAAGCAGAGGCCTTGGGCTGTCCACTCAGACTGGCTGTCTTAGAAAGGGTACAGATGGAAAGGATGGAAAGGATGACATTGGGTGCCATTTAGTTGGGCACTGGGGAGTCAGAACCAAATTCAACACAGTCCTTGCATCAAGTTGCTCATAGAACAGTGGGAAGGCAGACTCTCTACAATAAAAATTGGCTCTACAGTTAAGAAAGTAGAGCTGCAGGAACGAGTGCAACTCAAGCACAAAGAGCAAATGAACAGAGAATGTGTATCAGTCAGCTGTTGCCACAGCAATGCTGTGTAACAAATGGCCCCAGTATTCAATGGCTTACTATTATAAGTATTTATTTCTGGCTCATGTGTCTGCAGATTGACTGGGGAAGCCCTGCCAATTTCAGCTGGGCCTGGCTAGATTGGCTCCTGGGCATGGGTTTGGTTGGGGACTGCCCCATCTCTCATTCTTCTGGAACCTGGGACTACCCAGGGGGAAACTCTGCTCATGGCAAGGCCAGAAGCATAAGAGGGTGACGTGTGCCACCAAGCCCATGTCAAAGCTTTGCCCTAGGTCACATCTCCAAACATTTCCCTGGCCAAAGAAAGTCACAAAGCAGAGCCCAAGAGCAAAGGCGTCTGGAGGCAGCTGTCAAGGCCTGTCACAGATCTGTGGGCACCTATTGTCTGGGTTGGGGGGTTGACTAGAGAGGGGGCAGCTGGCATGGTGATGGAAAATATTTTTTAAAGAAAGGGGTGGGAGAGCCTGGAGTTACTCCTCCTACAGTGGGAGGGTAGGGAAGTAAATATTTATAAATAATAATCCAAACTTTACAGAAGGCTTCACAGAGGGGGGGTGACCTAGGCCTTGAATTAGTTAGATTTCTCCAAGTGAAGATGGGATAGGGCAAAGTTGTCAAAGGGATGAAGTGGGCAGGGGCTGGGGGTAGGGGAGGTTGATCATAGAGCCAGAAGCTTGGCATGTCCTTTCTCTGGAAACAGTACTCTCTGGGCCCCACCCAAGACATTTTCTTTATTTCCAAATTCTAACTTCAACTATGTGTCAACAGATACAAGTTCAAGACTAATATTTTTAGCAAGTAATTATAATAGAAGGTATAATGCTTGTCCCTTTTATATAAGTTTTATATAAGTTTCATCAGGCATAAATCAGCCAATTTTGGAGCCCACCCACCCCCATATCGGGGCTCAGGTCTCCCACCTGCAGCCTGGCAGCTGCACCCCTGTGAGTGTGACCAACTCCACCCTTCTTGAAAAGGCTCCTTGATGACAAAGTCAAGGCCGCCATGGTGTGAATGAAAATAACTCAGGAATGGAAAAACTCATTCTGAAAGGACAGGCAGCGAGCAGGGGATCCACACACACAGCCGACGCCAAACAATCGTGGGAACCACGGCTACAGGACGGGATGTAAGTAGTATAAACCTTGACAATGTAAAAATACGAACTCACAAAATTTGGGAGGGGAAAGGAGGTAGGAAGCGGAGGTGAGCTCATTTCCTTAACCTAAATCGCGGTTGTCAAGAGCCGCCATCTGCAGTTGAAATATGTTGAAAGGATGAATCCAGCTGCTTAATATTTTTCTCTCCTTTAGAGAAATAATTTAGAAACATAAAAAGAAGCATAATTATTTGCAGCTTGGCAATTTCTTTAGTTACATTTAGGTTTCCTTTTGTTATGTTAAATATAAATACAGTACTTTTTCTAAAAAGAGTAGGTATTGTATGAGCCCATTTTTGTGAAAATCTCCAACCATCTCCCTGTCCTTTTCTCTGGAGATGAGGAAGAGTGGCGTCTCCATCGACGTTCTCTGGGCACCAGCTGTGAATATTTCGGGGGGTGCCAGGTTTCTGGACCACTTCAGAATGTTGGTTTTGCTACTCTTCAATGGTACTTGAATTTCTTATCATGAGCATGTACCGTTGTTATGAAAGCAAAGCCTTTAAAAAAATTAAAACACATTTCTGGAGAAGAGAAAATAAGCGTGCTCCTTTGCCAGGAGGTGTGCTCCCCTCTCACTAGCCAGCCCCGGCCCGGCCGTGAGGGTCGCACCCAGGGGCCGCTCAGAGCCCTCCTGTGCAGGGCGAGGCGCGCCATTCATTTCACCGGGGTCCAGTGCGGGGGGCACAGGGGAGGGACGTGTGCTGACCAGACACCCCAGGATGCGCTTTTGAGCCCTGGGAGGTGCTGTGGCCAGCACGGAGGCACCGGCCACACGGTCAGTAGGCCTTGGAGCCGGGCCTGCTGGGTTCAGGGCCTTGTGCCTCCACTGCTTAGCTGGGGACCCGAGCCTTGCTGGGCCTGTTTCCTCGTCTTTGGAAGTCATCCTTGCCCTGCTTGTTTTCAGGTTGCTGCGCGGGACGTGCGAGGCGCCGTGCCCGCTAGTCCAAGTGGTCGCTAAGGATGTTTACTGCCCCAGTGTCACAGGATTCAGTGTAACCGACACCACTGCCAACTCAGTCTAAAGGGTCCAGTTGGTTTCAGGTGGCTCTGTCTAGCCATTTCTGGGCCCTCAGAGCCACTCTCATAGTCTCAGCTCCATCTAGTGTCTACACTGGGACACAGCCGCATACAACTGGCTTGTAAACCCTCATTTCCATACTTGCGTAGGGTACGGACTCATTAAGCAAACAGGACCAAAATAAGATCAATTTAAAACATTTCTCCCAGTACTAAGATTTGGTATTTTAAAGCAAGTGTGCAAATCCAGTGTTTCTAAAGATTCGTGTACCCTATCTTTGAAAAGATGGCAGATTCATGCAACAAATAATAGTTACTTATAGTAATTGCCATTTATTGTTTACTACGTACAGGGCACAATTTTAAGTGCTTGAATTGTGTGGGTTCATTTCACCATTACAGCACCATGAAATGGGGTGCTCGTTGTCCCATTTTATAGATGAGGACACTGAGGTGCAGAGAGATTAAGGAAGATTTGTTGCTCTGCTAAGTTCTGAGGGCAGGTAGAGGCTGCCTAGTGGGGCGGGAGATGAGGAGGGAGGCAAGGCAGGTGCAAGGTTAGCGCAGGCGAGGGAGAGAGGAATGCGGTCCCGAGGCAGCCTGTCGGGACTCAGACTGGAATTGAGAGGTGAGAAGGAGTGTGGAGAATGGCTCGCTCTCCAGCTTGAGCATGGGGGTGGGGGAGGCTGCGCTCTAAGAGAGGGAGGACAGATCAACAGTTGTAATGTATTTACTGAGCGCCTACTATGTGCCAGGTACTGGGGATGTAGAATTCTGTCCCTGTAGAGTTCAGAGTGCTGTGGGGAAGGAGGCCGTCAAACGCTTGCTGGAGCACATAGATCTACGAAGGACAAGCCGAAGGCGGCGTGGGGTGGAGTGGGAATGAGCCTGAGCTGACAGGCAGGTGGGGGTAGGGGGATAAATGTGAGGGTCAGCAGCTTGGAGGACTGGACAGGGTGGCCTGGGGACAGCTGATCCGAAGAAGAAAAGATGGTGCAGGAGGAGGATGCACACAGGTGACGGATGTGTGACCTGGGCAGTAGAATAAGAAGAAAAGGCTCACTGGAGCCAAAGAGAGGGTTTGGGGGGAAGGGAGTGGCCAAAGGGCTTAAATGTCAGGGAAGGGTCAAGTAGCACAGGGAATGACATTGGACAGGACTGGGACAGGCCAGAAGAGTTGGCATCGTGCAGGGCAGAGGGAGTTTGCAGATACGGGCTGTGGACGGGAAGGGCCGGGAGTGGCTTGAACACGAGCTCTCTTCCAGGACAGGAAGGCAGCAGGGCTGAGGTGTGAGCCGTAGCTGGGGCTGGATGGAGACGGAGGCATGTTCGTAGGCTGATGGCGAGGGCTGGGTAGAAGGCCTAGGGGAGTGGCGGCGAGCCCTTGGAAAAAGATCAGATCGATGGCACACACCAAAACAAGGACCCGGTACGGCAGAGGGATGCAGGGGAAGGCAGCAGGACGGGGGCAGACTTGGGCAGGTTTACAGGGGAAAGGGGACAGAATGGGGAGCGAGTGGAAGGCCGAGGGAGCTGGCCCGATGGCCTGGAATTGCTGGGCGAGAAGAGAGGAGGCCCCTGCGAGGCCCACTGAGGGCTTGAGGAGGAGGTATGGGTGCCCCGGGTGGCAGGCGAGGACCGGGTCAGCGGACAGTGTGGCATTGCTGGGTTCTTCCAGCAGGGCTCCCAGCAGCAAAAAATGTGAAGCTCAGCCCGAGTTTCGTGGTGGCAGGTCAGAGCAGGACGGTGCTGAGGGTGTCATGGAGGCCACTAACTGGTGGACAAGGCTGGAAGGAAGGGCTGCCAGGAGAGGACAGGTGGGCTGAGAAAAGAGGGGACAAGGGGCAGAATTCTCAGTGGAGTTAAAGAACGGGGTGTGTGTGGACCAGAGCAGAAATGGGGTCGTGGGAACTTGAGGTCAGCAATGGGATTTCTGAGTAAGATTTCAGAAGGAGACAGTCACTTTTATGACAGCGCCAGGTGAGGCTGTCTGCTGTGAACCCTGCCGGGGCAGGGCAGCAGTGGGGGGGGTGGCGGTTGGAGCAGGGGTCTGCAGGGGTGATGGCAGGGGAGGCAGAAGAATGAGCGGCCTGCAGGTGAAGGGACCGAGCGCCCAGACACCTGTAGTGAGAACGTCTGGCAGGCGCTGGTGCAGGGCCCGCCTCGCCAAGGCCCGGAAGTCTGCACCGGAGGCCGGGCCGAGCGGGAGGAGGTGGGAGAGAAAGGCTTCCCTCCGGGTGGGCTCCCCTGAGGCTGAAGGAAAACACCAAATGCAGATACAACCGTACTGTGCTGCTTTTAATTATCAAAGTTGTAAAATGATGCATTATAAAACCTGGAGGCTACTTTATACAAATTCCAATCCTTAAATATTGTTTAACAGGCGGCCCTGGGAGTTAGGACACTGGCAGGAAGTCTGATTAGCTGCTGCGACGGTCCCATCCACGAAGCAGTGGAAACGCGCTCGGAACCATCCGTGCATGGGTCAGAAGAGCAACGAGAGTCAGACGGGATTGTCTTCAAATGCGCGGACAGACTGGAACACACAACGTCTCAGCTCAGGTGATACACGGCAGACTCAGGAGAAATGCAACAGGGCGAAGGAGAATTCATGTTCACCTTGACACGATCAAGAAAATTTTCTCCTAACACCCTGTGTTAAAAACCACAACCACACGGAGGGAAAAGGTGGAAACACAGACAGGCTTTCAGCTCTATGCTGTGGAACTGCTAGTAAATGGCGGCAGTACAACGATCCGTTCCTTGTGACAAAACTAAGTATTGAAAAATAGTTTATTCTGAAGCGCGTGGCCCCTTCACACGCAGAGGGCCATGGCAGGTTTGTTACGAAGGCAGCAGTGAGTGCAGGGTTGGGGCCACACTGTCCTTGGTGTGTCCCCGATACCACCTAGGCAAGGTGGGTTGTATAATGTCCAAAACCTTTTCACAAGAAAAGACTGGACGGAAGGACCTAAGGACAAATTTAATTCAGTGCTAAAGCACATTGTCATCACTATACTTCCCCAACAAATCGCTTCCCCTGGAAGCCTCCATTTCCACGAGTGCCCCAGAGAATGCCCCGGGGGCGGCAATGCCTGGTGTAGGCCTTGGGGTCTCCTGTCGTCAGGCAGGGATGCTATGCAGACAAAGCGAACTGGGACCCCGACACGATGGTCCCCTTGGGTAAGGCACTATGGGAGGCATGGATAATGCTGCAACCTCTTTTTCAAAAATGAAAACTCTTGCAACATCAGCACCACTCCCTGCTGAGGGGCGAGATCAGACTTCGGGGCCTTTGACACAGAGCTGGCTTCTTTCAGCACACGGGGTGCCGGGTGGCGTCGCAGCTAAAGGCCCTTTCACTTAAACAGAAAGTCGCCCCCCTCCGAGACAGCAAACACAAAGGGATCTGAACGTTTAACTGGGAACGAGGCTGCAAAGGGAGGCCAGAAGCCCCTTCCTGAGCCAGAAACCAGGCAAGGAGGACGGGCGTTTGATTTCGCAATTCAGCACTGAAGATTCGGGGCAAATGTGAAACACGAACACTCGGCGTCCAGAGGAAGGGGGAGTGACGCGCCACGGGGGTGACCCGAAGGTCAGAAATAAGGCCTCTGCGGGCAGCAGCGAAGTGGGACGAGGTCTGGAAAGGCTAACCAGCCCTGATCTGGGGACAAAGACTCTTCCTGCCGTAGGGACAGACGTGTCAGGTTCAGACCTTCATCGTGCAGACCTGCCTCTGTGGGCGGGGGCAGCCCAGCGACGCTCAGCGACACCCCTAGGATCCCGAGAGGGCAGTGGCTGTCCAAGCAAAGTTTCTGGCATTTTTCGTCTCTCCGTCAGGCTTCCCCTCGCCACCCCCACTCCGCCTTCTCATCGCCTAGAGCCCCCCTCGCGTTCTGCCCCCTTCGAACCGACTGGCAGGTTTCTTGTTCAGGCCCAGCCCAGGGCCGGGAGGCAGACGGTGGAGGAAATGTGGTCAGACTGTTTCATGACAAGGGATGAATGGCTAATGGTGGCTCCATGAATTAGGGCTTCGTTTTACTGTAAACTATTTCTTCAGCCTGAAAGAATGAATCTCTACGGAAAGCAAGTTGGAGTAAAACATGGATCTGAAAGGGAAGATCTTTCGAGGTGGGGGCCTGGCCAGGGTCCCTCCGGCCCCAGCACTGGGGGCCTCAGTTGGCACGGCCATTCTGGGCACGCTCAGACCACGGCGTCCACCGACTTGCTGTGGAGCGCAACCCCGCGGAGACGGGTGCCCAGCGGAGTCGCGGTTTGGTCACCAATGTCAAAAGCACATTAAAGTACGGGCTTAACCACAGGCACGAGTGTTAGAAAAGCTAACGCTCTGAGAAGATCTGGCAGGGAATGGGGACAGCTGCAGACCAGACTGCCCTACAGCAAGGCAGAGCATTCATTCATTCACTCATTCACGCATTCAACACGCAGTCACGCAGCACGTGCTCTGGCACACGAGCGCGCGCTGCCAGGCACTTGTTAGGTACCAGGGGTTCGACAATGAATAAGGCACTGTCCCTGCTCAAGGAGCTTACAGTCTAATGGGGTGACATTACACTCCTGGTCCACAGAGAAGCAGCTCTGGGGAGGGACAGGGAAGCTCGCTGCCGGGTCTGCTCAGGGCCGCCTGCGGCTCCCTCCGCCGGTCCTAGGGAGGGAGGCCGGTCCTTGTCCTCGCCCGGAGCTTGTCTGGAAGATGTCGTGTGCCCCGGGATCCCTGCAGCGCCCCCGGCCCAACCCCGCTTTCCGCCCCAGCTACCAAGAAGGAGCACCGTTCTCTTCGGGCCCATCCGTTGCCAGGGAACCTTTTTCAGTGACTGGGTAAGACGGGCTTCCTTTTCCTCCCGTCCGCAAGGAAAAGGCGCAGTGAAGCAGCAGAAACAAGATTACAAACCGGGAGACAAATTAGCATTCCGGTGGCCTCACTCGAGCCTGCCCTCCGACTTGTGGTAAAACTTCTTCATGTGATAATCGAGGCACCCGAGAGAGCCAGGCTCGGGCTCGCCACTCGGCCCTGGGACGTCCCCAGCTGGCCCGCCCTGGCCGTCAGGCCGGAGGAGGCCTGGGGGTCGGTGCCGGACGCGAGCCCCCCACGCAGGCCGTGCCCGCGGGATCAGTGGCTCTGCGCGCCACCCAGCGCTACCGAGGCCTCCGCTTACAGGACGTTTTCTATTTTTACACGCTGGCCGACTGGACGGCCGATAAAAAGGGGCAATGGCACGGAGATGGCATCGGCAGCTCCCCAGCAGCCTGACGCAGCGACGCTCCTTCCGCCACGGGCCCGAGGGGCAGCACGTAGCTCTGTGGTCTAGAAAAAGCCACAGCGTCTGAGATGGGACCTCATCTGAAAGGTTGGGGCTGTGGAACCGGTTCCTTCCATGTCAAGATAACTGAAGCCCAGGGCTGTGAGCCGGCTCCATTCTATTCCATTCTATTTCGGCTGTTTCAGAAAACAAGTCTCCGGCTCGGTCACATTCTGTTCACAGTCGGTCAGCCCGAAATGTCTCTTCAACAGAGGGGTCGAGCAGGCCCATGCTGGAGTCACTTAACATGTTGAGCCCGTCCAGGCTCAGGGGTTCAATCTGGAGCTCCTCCTCCAGCGGGAACGCGGTGTCCACGCTCAGGCTGGCCTCCGGCATGCCGGCCAGCGCGCTGCTGAGGTCTTTGAACAGGCTGGTGCTCGAGTCTTCTGAAAGGAGCAGCGAGAGGGGGACAGCGCGATTAGGAGGCTACTGAGATGACTCCTAATGGCTGCCCCCTGCGCTCTCCCTGTCATCTTCCCAGCCAGGACTGCACGCCGGGGACGGACCGCTCGCAGGCCCACAGCTCCTGCCCTGGAATCTACATTCTTTTCAGTCCGCTCCACAACTCCCCATTTTTGTGGGTTTTCTCCTTCTGAACCATCGTCAATCACCTAAGACTAAATATTTCGGAAAAGGCCCTTTCCCCCCCGCCTTGCCGTCCCTGGGGCTGGACACTGGTGTCTCGAACAGCGAAGCTGAGCCAGGGGCTTGCCCTGTTTGCTTTCCCTCATGTTAGGCTGTTGACGTATCTTACATAGGTGTCTGCTAAAACGCAGCGAAACAGGAACAGTAAGGAAGCTGGGGGGTGGCCGCTCACCTGGCAGGAGGGCGTTTGGGAAATTCCCACAGTTGGAATACAGGTTTGGTCTCAAATGAAACGAGTCCTGCAGTTCTCGGTGACCTTGTTGCTCCAGGGGCACCTGGAAGCATCAAAAGTCACATTGTGAGGATGGGTCTTGGCTTCCAAGGAGTCGGAGGATAGTGCAATGTGCTCTTAAAGCAGAGCTGGACATGCAAACTGTCTTGGATTCCCTTCTTTCTAGGATCCCAGCGTGCTCTGCTGTCATGACGACACACAGAGTACTCCTGTCAGGCAGGTGGATGCAGGGGTGGAGGAGGGGTCCCTGAGGTCCACAGTGTGGGTGACTTTTCCCCATCCACACACCGCCCAGTCCGAGGGACACCAGCGCTCATGGTTTCTGCAGCCCCTCTGGGCCTCAGACATCTCTCCTCCTCGGCCTCACCAAAGCCTTTGCAAAACTACCATTGTGGGAACCCTTCAAAGGCTCCATGTGTAACCAAGGAAGTGAGAGACTCTTTTCTTCTTTGGTTTCCAGAAAACAGAGAGTGTTTTTCTGAGCGTCCTTTTCCTACTCAGAAGGAAGAACCTCAGGTAAGCACCTGTCCATGATAAAGCCTCCATGAGGACTGGTTATAACTGGGGCCAATTTTAGGTGTTTTCCCTGAAATTAATTTTCTAAGTCATTTTTTCAAATGTCCCAAAAGAAGGAGTTTCCATCATTTTTCAGGGAAACACTGATTCTCACCTAGATCAAAATGGGCTCTTTAGAAAATGGGAAGGTAAAGACTATTGGCTCTTACCATGAGGCTTCTCCACGGCCCACTCAGGAAATAGCTAAGTATTTTACTATTATTATCAAGTTCTCAACTGTTCCTTTACTTCTTAATCCATCCTGGAACCCAATCTATACTTATTGAACACTATAAAATCTAGGACTATTAAAAATGGTCAGTATTAGGGAGAAACTAAACAGCACAAGAAAGGGGCTGAAGGAAGATACCCTATGGAAGTAGCCCCACTGGCCCCAAGACCAAGCTCTCCCAGGAGGCCACACACTGCTGGGTGTGCCGACCAGGCCTGCAACAAGACACCGCGCCACTTTCCAACTCTGCTTCTGGGACCAGGACCCACCCCTCCCCATGCCTCAGTTTCCTCAACATGAGTGGACATTAGTTGGCTGCTGTGGTCCCTTCCAGTGTTAATGGTTCTATAATTCTATGACATGAGTGGCATCGAGAGTCTTCTACCACTTGCCCAAATAGTTCCTCTGTGAGGCCCGACGCTAAATAAGGCAGCCCGCACCAGCCCCGCAGGGCTGGGGAAGATTCAAGGATCTCCCCGGCACAGAACACATCTGAAACCAGGGAAGTAGCGTGTCTAGTCTATTTGCTTGTGGGTTCTGCACATCGAACAGCCAAAATGCGCAGTTGATGCACCAAGGAAGGGGAAGACGGTGGCAACGACCTACCTGTTGAGGAAAGGCTGGGCCTGGCCTCACGGACTGCTGGTCAAAGCCCACATCCAGGAAGAAGTTGGTCAAAGACGAGCCCTTCAGGGAACAAGGAGGTGACCATTTAGCTTGGAACTCAAGCAAAATAAACGCTCCCCCCTCACCAACGTTCCTGCTGGGACTTACCTGGGACGGGAGAAGCTGGAAGTCTGGCCGGGGCAGTGCCGAGGCCGCCTGCGGCTGCTGCGCAGGGGCCTCCTGGGCGTGGGGCTGCTGGAGGAGAGGCTGGGGGAGCTCCGGGGGCGCGGGGTAAGGGGGCGGCGGGGACACCTGGGCTTGAGCCTCCGTGGGCAGGAAAGACAGCCGGCTTAGATCGGAGGACACCATCTATAAAACAAACAAACAAAGCCGCTAACTAGCTTCTGAGTTTCTAGCAGTAAGTCTTTCAGGATCAGGAAATGTCGGAGTGAGAGAGACGCCTGAGCCCTTCCTCACCGTGGTAGCCAAGCGCTGCCGTGAGAGGCCGGTTTCTGTTCTTTCAAAGTACTTCAAATCTCACTTCCCCACAAAGCATTTCCCATTTAATGACAATTTCTATTGTCTTTTTTTAAAAAAAAACAAAAAACAAGAAAACAACCAATTTAACCAATTTCCTCTCAGTTTTCTCAGTGAAAATCATGTTTTATTTTGTTTTTTAAGTGCATGATTTCTGGTTAAAGATGGAAGATTGAAAAAGGCATTTAGCCCTGCTGTCTCCCCAAACCCTACTAAAATGAGACACTAAAACAACATTAAACAACAATAAGCATTAACGAACCACACTAAAACAATAATAAATAACACTAAAATGATAATGAACAACACGAGGACAAAAATAACAGGAGAGAAGAGAATAGCAACAGAATCTGGACAAGGGAAGCAGATGGACAAGTGGTAACCAGCTTGGCAGAGCCGAGGGCCAAATGCTAAGCTGGCCGTGGGGGACCAAGAGGCAATCTGATTCCCACCAGTAAATCCCAAAAATGCCCTCAAGCTGGGGACAGCAGGGAGCAGGGGCATCTGGTGACAGTTGCCGTGAGGGGCAGTGGGCCTTGGGAGCCCTTGCCCCGCCTGTGCCTCTGTGCCGCCCGCCCTCCCTACTGCGCGCCAGGGGTCTCTGGACCTTAGGTGAGGTGCTCTACTAAAAACGCAGGGTTATGGGACATCTCATTGTTGAATCTTGAGATCTCTGCCTTTCCTTCCCTACTCGGCTCTCCGAATGCTGGAATCCAGGCATATGCCAAGATGCAAGATTGGAACGGTGTCCTTTATGGAATCTGAGGAGCCCAAGAGAAATCCTAAAACTTAGGACATCAGAAGTTCCCCAAGGAAATGACCAAGCTAGATCATTCTACAGTGAAGAGCATACTCAACAAGCCCACCCACGTCTGCAGAGCTGCCAATCAGCTTCTTAGTGTCCTGTCCTTAAATATGAGCAGAGCACCAATGGTCACCAGGCCCAGAGGAAGGCATCTGACACAAAGGCCAGAGACCAGGGCAGACGTACAGAGAACAGAAACTCGCAAAGACTTGTGTAGGAAGGGGTAGTCAGGGAAAAACAAAATTATCAGTGTAATATTTAGGCTATTAAAAAAGTCTTTATTTGTTAGAGATACATATTGAAGTATCTGTAGTATGTGTCTCTATATACATTGTTTTGAAAGCAGGGATATGGATTAAACAGGATAACAATACTGATCATTGCTGAGGCTGGATGATAGGTATAGAAGGATCCATTATATAATATTACGTTCTCTACTTTCATGCAATTTGGAAAATTTCTATCATAAAAAAATAAAAAGAAATCAGAACAAAAACTACCACTAAAAACTTCAGAGAGATAAAAGATGATATTGCATCTGTATGATGCTATAAAAAAGGAACATTCAAAGAACCAAAAAGAACGCCTGGAAATTTAAAAATGAGAGGAGAAAGGGAAAACTCAACAGAAGGGTTGGAAGATAAGTTGAGAAACTCTTCCAGAAAGCAGAGCAAATAAACAAAGAGGGAAAAGAGGAAAGAGAAAAAAACAAGGATAACAGAGGGAAAGTCCAGGATATCCAACAGTCGTACAACAGGAATTCCAGAAAGAGGGAACAGAGACAATGGAAGGGAAGAAATTATTGAAGAAATAATTAAAGAAAATTTCCCAGAAATGAGGGATATCAGTGTCTAGCCAGAGGTGGGGGACCTGTGGCCTTCTGGATCCTTGAGTGTGGCCTTTTAACTGAACCAAAATTTTACAGAACAAATCCTTTTAATAAAGGGATTTGTTCTGTGAAGTTTGGATTCGGTCGACGGGCTGCACTTGGGGGTCTGGTTCCTTCAAAGGAACCCATCAAATATCCAGACTTATGCCAAGCCACATTAGCTTGAAGTTTCAGAACAGTGAGGACAAAAGAAGACCCTATCAGCCTCCAGAAGAAAAAAAGGAGATCTTATGCAAAGTATTAAGAATCAGAATAGCATTATATTTCTCTAGAACCTAAAAGACAATGGTCAAAATTATTTCAAATTTAGAATTCTATATCTAGCCAAATTATTAATTAAATGGCAAGTAGAATAAAGACATTTTTAAGTCATGCAAGATCACATGCACTCTTTCCTATTAAGCTACCAGAGGAGTTTTTAAATGTATTGAGAGGAACACATGAATTAATAATACATACCTAGATAACCAAACAAAAAAAGTAAGACATTTATTAACTGCTAGAAGGAAAAAATGTTCATTTTGTTATTTCATAGTATACTATGTGGTTCAACTCTGACTACATTATTATAACCATAAAAATACTAAACACTTGAGTATTACTCTAGCAAGTCTTTTTCTTTTTTCTTTTTTTTGTAGAGACAGAGTCTCGCTATGTTGCCCAGGCTGGTCTCAAACTCCTGGCCTCAAGAGATCCTCCAGCCTCAGCCTCCCAAAATGCTGGGATTACAGGCGTGAGCCACCATGCCCAGCCTCTAGCCAAGATTATAATAAATGAGGAGGGTGGGCAGGAAATATATGTATATGTGTGTGTGTGTGTGTGTGTGTGTGTGTGTGTGTGTGTGTGGTGGAGGTTTTGGGAGAGTTGAAGGAGAACTAAATCCTAATCTTTCATGGTAGGATATCATTAGATAATGCCCAACGCCAAAAATCTAGAACAAAATAAGCATGAAATCAAATGGTTATACCAAAGAGATTAGCTAAAATGATTGAGAGCCGCCATTTTTAGGCAGTGAGAAATATGGTTAGCAGGAGAGGGAAAGACAGTTGTTATTCTACAACAAGCCCTTTAGAACTATTTGACTTTTTAAAATATGTGTATGAATAACATTAATTTTTTAAAATCTAAATATTAAACAAATAAAAAAATCTAAAAAGTGATATTCTCTACCCATAGTCTCCTTAAAATGTAGTCATTAGTAGAAAGCAGGAATACTTTATAAAATAATCTTGCAAAATGAAATTAAAGGCAATCTAATAACATAAAAAGAATCAAAAAAAGTATGAAATGCCCTCTCACCCACCCAAAAGGTATTAGTCATACTATTAAGATGCCATAGCTAGTAACCGGTAAAGAGTGACTAACAACCAAATCTTCTAACTCCTTCTGTTGTGTTCTGTCAGCTCCTCCTGGCTAAATCATTACTCATTTATGGTGAAGTGGTGAATAGTTAATGATGTTATAATGTGTCTAGGGTGTGACCAATAGGTTAAAAACACAGTCATTGATGATGATGGTAAGAGAACCACCCTGAGAGTTTAGAATAAAGACAAAGTCAACAAGCACAAATACAACATTTCAAGCCCTGTGTGTCTATAAAGGGCCTATTACTTCAAAATGTGCCTCTTTCTCCATAGATTTCTTTTAGTCCTTTCACAGAGATATAATCCTCATTACTCCTGGTATTTCATGAACAATATAAGTATTGTTTCTTAAATCTGTAGTTGTAATTAGGGAGGGGGTCTAATCCAGCATTGAAGCTTCAGGAAGGTATTAAATGTTTTCTTTGGCTTTCCCCTGTGACTTATGTACTTACGGAGTCTGACTGATTTCCCATACCGATTTTGAAATCCCAACCTGGTTTCCCTTAGCCATCGTAGACACACCTGGATTGCATTTTCCACACCCCACCGTTCCCCCAACCCCAAGTTTGTGAGTTATAGTGACTGAAAATTGTTCAATCTTTGCTTAAGAGTAATCAACATGGCAAATCTGCTACTAGAAAATCACTAATGCATCCTGAGTGATTCACGCTGCTGCTCTGGTTTCACGTGTAACTGCATGGAGACCTCACGGACACCCGGGGTAATAACGGGCCTAATCCAAAACAGCCCAGAGGAGGAAAGCGATTCTCACACGCTTCAGTCTGTCCCACTGCGGTCTGTCTGTCTGTTTTACCTGGGAGGCAGGATAGGCGTTCAGCGGGCTGGTTGAAGAGAGCTGTCTGCCCAGGCCCTGCTGAGCCTCGGGGCCAGGGGAGAGCGTGAGGGGGCTGACGGGAGGCTGCCTGCGCCGAGGGGCGCCACTCAGGCTGGCGGTGGACAGAGAGGGGTTGCTCAGGGAAAACAGACGGAGCGCGGGGTGCAGGGCAGACGCGCTGGCAACAGACGTCTGCGGGTGGCTGTTTAGGGACGAGGACAGCGCTGTTTTATTGAGCGTGGCCTGGATGGAGGGGTTACTCCGAGAACTCTGGAGACCTGGAAGACAGCAGATCCACAAGTTACTTGTTATGATTTCGGACCAAATCTTTTGTTTTCCAAAGATTGAAAAATCTTCCTACTATCACCTGTGCTGGTGATTCGGAATGCAAAGGAGCTCCTGGGCGGCTCTCCCTCGGGAGTCTCGCCCGCCGTGCCAACGGCAGGGAAAGAGGCACCCACGACAACGGAGGCGGCGCCATCGGCAGGAGAGTGCTTCTTCCCCAAGAGCAATGAGATCACGCAGAGCAAGGCGAGAGCAAGACTAGGTGGCAGAGGCCAACGTTCAGTGTGCTCAGCTCCAACCCAGGGAAAGGACCCGGGGCTGTGCGACACATTCTGTTTAGAGCCGTGAATGTCTCTGTCCCAAGCATACTGCCTGGTCCCCTGCTGCCTTTGGAGGACATCCTCTCCCTGAGAGCTGGGGCCTCAGGAGCTGCCTGGGTGGTGTCTCTAAATGCCCTCAGTACGCTAGGGAGTCCCAGGAAGGGATATGCCCCATCTCCCACCCCAGGGTCCCTCCCTCTTTTCCTGACTCTCAGGAAATTATTCATCCCAGTCTATCCCAATTTAGGGCAAAAGAGGTTTTTGCTGGTGCTTTGTTTATTGGGGGAAGGGAGGGGTGAATGTCATCACGAGCAAGGAAGTTTGGGAGCTGCATTTCGACGGCGCAGGCTGCTAGGCCACAAGCTCCGTGAGGCCAGGGACCCTGCGCTGCTGATCCTTAGCACGTGGCACAGGGCCTGGCATGGAGCAGCTTCGCTCAGCGAATCACTAATTGTGCTGCCGCTGCTGGGTGCACCTGAACTGGCAGTGCCCGTGTTTTAAAGTCCCCCATCCTCCTGTACCAGCCGCTGGGGTGAGCAGGACTCTGTGTTGTTTTGTGTTGATAAAAAAGTAAGTGTTTGGCTCACCCCTGTAATCCTAGCACTGTGGGAGGCTGAGGCGGGCGGATTGCTTGAGCTCAGGAGTTCGAGATGAGCCTGAGCAGCAGTGAGACCCCGTCTCTACTAAAAATAGAAAGAAATTAGCTGGACAACTAAAAATACATAGAAAAAATTAGCCGGGCATGGTGGCTCGTGCCTGTAGTCCCAGCTACTCGAGAGGCTGAGGCAGGAGGATCGCTTGAGCCCAGGAGTTTGAGGTTGCTGTGAGCTAGGCTGACGCCATGGCGCTCTACCAGGCAACAGAGTGAGACTCTGTCTCAAAAAAAAAAAAGTTAAGTGTTTGTTAAAAGTTGTGGAAATAAAGAAATGACAAAACCAAGTATTTTAAGCTGGCAATGTTATTTTTAGAAGGTAGGAAGCAATCTATGATAAAACCCTACATAATTATCCCACCATACGATAATCCACAAAAAGATCAGAGATTCGGTTGGCTCAAATAGTAATCAGAGCTACAAATCTGAATTTATATTTTTAAAAAAACTCATTCAGAAAGAAAGCTTAAACATCTTTTAAATATATGTGTACCATGCATATTAAGGAATACATAGAAACTATAAAAACTTGACACTGGTTCTGACATGTTTTGGACAAAATAATGCTATTTTGAGGGAGCTAGCCAGTGATTGAACGTGAAATTTTCGGCATGAAGCAAAGTGTCGAAGGCTGCGCTGGAAAAGGCCGGCTTCCCCGAGACGCGAGGGAGCTCTACGCCGACGCTTCTTTATTTCTGTGGCCTTGGCCTCCTCGTTCATTGAGAATTCACCTAAAAGGTAAATTGCTAAGACTCTGAATCTAAAAAAGTCTACAAGTTTCGAGAGTTTCTACTACGAGGCAAATCAAGTAAACTCAGAACTACGAGACCAGCACTTTCGCCATAAAGAACATTCCAGATCCCACAGAACACATTCTCTGCGACACGCTGGATCCCAACCAGCACCACATGGCTTGGTCACTCCCTGTTCACATTAAATCTTCCCATACACGACTTGATTCCTAAATATCAAAACCCAGACTCAGTGGATGAAAGACTTGCTGCTATTAAGGATAATAAAATCAAAAAAATCCAAAAAACAAAAACAAAGGTGGTTTCTGGAAACAATTTTTCAAACCTAAAGTTATGGCACACAATGGCAGCATCACTGCAATCATTAGGGACCTTTCCGGTGACCACTCTCACTTAGGTGCTGAGTTCTGATTTGAATAAATAAGCTCACTGAACCCAGACTGGAAACCAGCAAACACTTCCTCCACCTGGAGACCATTACTGAGGTTCCCTTCCAGGTGACACATTCCACAGCACAATTCTCGGCAGTGCCCTCACGGCCAGGGCCCGCTCCGCACCACCGTGAGCACGGGCATCAGCACCTGCCTCGTCACGGACGGGAGGATCTTCCAGGGTTCGAGCAAACGTAGCCATGTTGCAACACTGGGTCTGGGCTGTGGACGATCAAACCTGCGCAGTAACACCCAAGCCACACTATGGGTAGCATTTCTTAAATATGGCTAATGCCACATACTTAAGCACTTCTGAAAATGCGAGTCAATAACTTGGAACTGTGGCTTGGTCACTCACTTTTTACATTAAATCTTCCCATATATGACTTGATTTCTAAATATCAAAACCCTGTTTCAGTGGATGAAAGACTTGTTACTATTGAGGATAATATAATGACCCCCAAAACCCAAAAAATAAAAATAAAGGTGGTCTCTGAAATCAATTCTTCAATCAATTGAAGAATTGATTGAAGAATTGAAATATACCAGTTCCAGGCTTATTTTCATCATATCCACTATAAATTTTCTAAAATTCAAAATTTTCTTTTAAAATCCAGTGAAAAATCGGAGGAATCTAGAGAGATGGCTTAAATTATAAAATATCATCATATAAGAGCCACTAACACTGTTCAGCCAACATAGAATGGATGTTTAGTTCTTGACTCCCAAATCTTATCCCCAAGTCCCTTGGGTACATGGCTAGCGAAGACAAAAAAGGATGAGGTTCAGCAGAGCTGCCCCCAACTCATCACGCCCGTCAGCAACAGAACCAGCAAAGTGCAACGTCAGCAGGGTCAGGAGATACAGTCACTGGCGTTCAGTGATTCACTGACCAGGCCACATGGCTGGGGACCACTTATGATTAAGCCACCAGGAGGCACAGCCAAGGTCCTTCCTGAACGGGAGATACTTACCAGAGGAGCTTCTTATCCCCAGGTGAGTCATAGCAGCTGGGAGGTTGCGCACGCTGTTCCCCACGCTCATGCTACCAAAGATGTGGTCATTGGTGTCCAGGGAGGCTGGCAGGGGTGCCGAGTAGTGGAGGTTGGTTAGATCTGGCAATGACCCTCCAGTGTTCAGGGTCCCCAAAAAGGGTGAGAGGCCTATGTTTTGACCATTGTGTGGAAAAGCACTGAAAAAAGAAACATACATATTACTATTTTTTTTTTGAGACAGAGTCTTACTCTATGACCCTGGCTAGAGTGCAATGGCGTCATCATAGCTCACTGCAGCCTCAAACTCCTGGGCTCAAGCGATCCTCCTGCCTCAGCCTCCTGAGTAGCTGGGACTACAGGCGAGTGCCACCACACCGGCTAATTTTTCTA